CCTAAATGCCCTTCCGATTTTGTGGCTGCAGGCAATTTCCCACTTCCAACCTTTTCTGTGTAAGAGCAGTGCTTTGGGGAAAGGTGCGGGTACAGTCCCTGGTACTGCCACTTACGTTCCTTTGCCACCAAATACGGAATTTCAGCTGAAGAAGGAGAAGGGTATCTGGACACACAGATCTCAATTTCCGATCATCGCCATGATACTCCCTGGGTCCAAAGTGCTTTTGCCCTCAGACTTGGTATACCTGATGACTCCCTTTAACCAGAAAGGTGTTCATTGTGCTGGGGTAGTATGTCTCTGTAAATGTAGTGTTAATAGTATAGACATAAAGAATTTTAATAAATACTATATGCTTAAAGTGCATAAAGTGGACTGGAGGCCTAAATGACTTCAGAAATCAACTTTTCATAAAAGGTTTCATTACATGCATTCTTAAGAATGTTTGCAAATGAACTGAGTTGAAAAATCCGCCCCCCAAAAACTGAAGCGTGCAGAGGCAGTATTGACATGCGTTTCTAACTAAAAATCTGAAAAATTAATGGCATATAAATATTACCTATGTATTCTATCCCAAATATTTCGAAAAGTCAATTATTTGGAGCAGTAAAACTCTGTAGTCTTCTTTAATGAGTTGATTTATTTATGTCGCTTATTATTTTAAAACATTTTTCGATTTCAAAAACTGGTGACTCATTTTGAAATGCATCAAGAATCAGATCTTGCTGAATTTACATGACTAACCAGAAGAAAGGAAGGGAAAGAGGGAGAAGGAAATTTTTTTAAAGCCAACCCAGGGTGGTGCATTTGTTACGGTCAGTGAGCTTCACTGACAGTCGCTGTCACTCGCATCCCAGAGTTCACATTAGGGTTTGCTCTCGGTGCATCTGCTCTAAGGGTTTTGACGAAAGTATAATGACCTGAGTCCATTATAACCTTATACAGAGTAGTTTCCTTGCCCTAAAGAATCCTCTGCACTCCATCTTCCTCATCCCTCTCTCCCCTCCTCTGACAAGTGCTGATCTGACTACCTCCATAGTTTTGCCTTTTCTAGAATGCCTCATAGTTGGAATCGCACAGGATGTAGCCTCTTCGGTCTGGCTTCTTTCATTTACCGATGTGCCATGCATACATGCTTATAGTTTTCAAGCATAATTCAACAGCTGTGAATGTCTCAGTGGCCGCAGACCACGGTTTACCGCTCTGAAGCACTAACAGATGTTGGTAACTCCGGCGCTGGTGTGGCCCATCCCAGGAGCCTGCTAGGGGGGCCTCCTGCCCGCCCACTCCAAGAATCCCCCCCACCCCACCCATGCCAGAGTCCTTAGGTACCCTTGGGTGCTGGGTGCTCACAACAGAGCCCCTCGTCCTTGGCCATGAGCATTGAGACAGTGTCGAACGGGTTGAAGCTGTGTTGAATTTAAGACTGAGGACATATTGGATTCAGCGCTGGGGGAATTATCTAGAGAAAATGGATTTTTTTTTTTTTTTTTAGCAAGGAAACCCACAAAAGAGCATAACACTTGTCACTTCAGCAAACCTCTTCAAGGCCTGAAGTTAGGGACAGGAAAGAGCGCACTTCACATGCTAATTATCTGGGGAAAAAATGTCCGGAGGCCTTATTGGGAGCAGCGGGAGGCCATGGCTTCCCAAGATCTCCCCTGAAGCCTGCAGACAGGTCCCATCCACGGGGGGGGGGGGGGGGGGGGGGGGGGGGGGGGTTGGGAGTGTTCTGCTGCCCCACATGCGGAAGATCTCTCAGCCTCTGTTGGAAGCTGTTTTCAAGAAGGATTTTTCTGGCTGTAGCTCTTAACACTCGCTTTAGAGAAATTTTTATTCCACTGTCCACAAATTTGAGAGGCATTTCCGCTGACAGTAATGAAGGATGCCTAGGAGAACTGGTGAGGTTTTGGATGGAGCCTGGGGTGGGCGAGAAGAATGAATCAGCCTCTGGGATCGCGGTCCTGTGACTTTGGCATGGAAAGCACATCCGACTCCATGAGCTTTGGTGCAACGGTGTCGCACAAGCCACCCTTGCCTCATGACTTCCCATGACTCCAGGTGAGAGAAGGGAAGACAGAACCATGTCCTTGACTGGGTGACCCCAGGGCCCCGGGCTCTGTGGTGCTGAGACTATGGTGGATCCCAGAGACCCGCTGACTTTGGGGTGAACAGCCGGAACCAGGAAAGCACGAGCCTGTCGGGGTGATGATCCCATTGCCCCCAAACGATGCCAAGACGTGAGATGTCCTCTTGGGACACTAAGAAATTATTGCTCACTTAATTTATGCAAAGTTGCAGTTCTTTACAAGTGTTAGGTCAGTGTGGACTTGTTCTAGAGAACACCACAGCATTCGACAGGAAGGCTTTATGGAGTCTCAGAGTCAAGGAAACCCCAGCACTGAGCCTACATCCCAGAGAGCGCAGCTTCCAGGAGGAAAAGGCACACGTTTGATGGTCTCCTCCTCCCAGCCACTTCTGGCACTTTCCTTCCCTCTCCTCCTCCATCTGATAGTCTGTCTGTTAACCATCTGTATAGACTGTTGACATTTTATGGGACTCTCCACAAACGAAGTTAAAGTCTGTCACCCGCCAATTATGTTCTCTGTGTCCCCTCTCTTATTCCCTCCTTTTCTCTTTTCTTCGCCTGCCTGCTTTGGGATTAATTAGGTATTTTTATATTTATGTTGTTTTTCCCCTCTCTTGCCTTGTTTTCCATCTCTCTTTCAAGCTCATTTAGGGATCGCTCTGGAATTTAAAATCTACATCTTTAGGGAATTACAGTTTATCTTGAAGTACAGCTCGTGCATAACGTGAGAACCTCATCAATGGATGCTTCCAGCACCTCCCTTCCTCCCGTCTTTGTGCCATCGGGGCCATTCATTTCACTCTTGCCCACATTACAAGTCCCGATACAATGTGGCTCTTGCAGCTTTAAGCAGTCAACTCTATTTGAGAGTGAGTCAAAATAAGGAAAGAAATCTATCTACCTTCATTTTAACCATGGCTGGACATCATCATTTCTCTGCATGGACATGCTATTTGGGTGTCCGCCGGACAGCACTCCTCCAGCTTCTCTCGTATGCGGGTCTGCTAGTGATGAATTCCCTCCGTTGTCATCTTTCCAAAAACATCTTTATGATGCTTCCCCAGGACAAGAACTCTGTGGGATGTTAGGATTTCCCATCAGTACTTTAAACCTATCTTACTCCATCGCCTTCTGGCTCACTAGGCTTCCGATGAAAGGCTGTGGCAATTCTCTCCTTTGTGTGTCTATCGGTCCGTCCATATTGAACTTGTCTGGGCATCCTCACCATTCAGCCACTAGCAGCTCATTAGGAATTGCAGCTGCGTTTTCCTTACCCGGCTGTACGGTGTCCCCCGATGCTTCTGCCCTGCACTGTCACCGGTGAGCGGCACTCACACTCTCACCCTGCAAGAGGCCCATCTTTTCTTAACATTTCAGACCACTGCATTGCCCTGTTGACCTTGGCTTTCCTGTGGGCTCAAGGAAAGTTAAGATTTTGTAGTTGGTTCAGCTTTTCTTGTTCTTAGATGTGAGGTTCCTCCCAGCTTTCTGCATCCTAGGCACCGCAATCTCCCTAGGTGTTTTAATCCACAAATGCTGAGTGGGGAACCAGACCGTGGACCCGGTGGCTGCTGGAGGGAGGGACCGAGGTCTAGCGCAGCCATGGTCCAGAGCAGACGGGAAGAGAGCGTGACTTGTAGAGCACACTTGAGGGGCTTGGGCAAATTTCATGCTTTTTTATTTTTGCCTAACAAGGTGAGCTTTTCAAGAAGAGAATAATGAAGGATGTAGTGTGCACAGGACTGTGCTCTGTTCCCACGTGCTCTGGGCCAGGAGACTGTTGTCTTTGTTTCTTTACCTTGAGCCAAAGGATCCTTTTGGTTCCTGTGTCTTATTTCTGAAACAGGCAACCTTCCTGTGCAGAGAGTTGGATGTCACTGCCAGGGAGCTAGTCCCCTCCTTCGAGGCCACTGGGGTTCTTGTCCTCCAGTGGTTTGCCAGGTCACATCACTTTTCCACAATGCTTCTGATTCCCCGTTGCCTACTGTATACACGATCAACCACTGGGTTTGGCACATGAGGTAATGCCCAAAGCAGCCTAATCCACTTCCTCAGCCCCATTGCCCCCGTGCGCCCCATGTCTTGCCAGCCTCACCGTTTTCTCACGGTAGGCCAGGGTTTCCATAGCCCCAGGCCTTGGGCACTTCATTTCCCGGGCCGAGAAGGCCATTCTCAAGGCCTGTCCTTCCAGAGCTAGTCCGGATGCCTCCTGACCCAAAGGCTCCCCTGCTTTCCTAGGGCAGAGTCCTCCCTGTGTGTCTCCTGCACCAGGGAACAGTTTGCCTGTTTCAGTTACATGAGTATCTCCCCTAGAACATGACTTCCTAGAAGGCAGGCCATTTGGCAAGTATATAGCTGGTCAATAACAGAAAGACAGAAAGAGTGGAAAACCTTAAAAATGGTGGTCCTCTATCAGACGAAGAGAGATTTAGCCTCCAAATGAATGAATAATCCATATGGGAAGGGATGCTTCTTCCACCCCCCCACCCCCCCCACACACAAAGGATAAATGGGCTTGAAACATAGTGGTGTCTGATGGCAGAGGGACTTTCTAGATGGAACCTTGCCTGGATCTCACGCGCCAAGTAACCGAAAAAGAAACCAGAGAAAGCTTTCATTAGCTATTTATCTCGGGATGCCTGGGAAAGCCTCACCCGTGGAATGAGATGATCCAGTCCACTTTTCTGCCTATGCCTTAAAGAATTCTCCAGCAGAAAATGAGAAATAGCCCAGTTCTTTTTCTCTGTAATGCCACTATTAGCCTCGGAAAACATTCATCACACTTCGCTGTTCTTGATGCCATAATTGCCTGTGAATCATGAATGGCAGCTAAGGGTGTCTTTCTCTTCTCTTCTCCCTCCTGTGCCTCCTGCCATGTGCTTCGCTGTCCTCCACAACTGCCTGGGAACAGTGCCTACTGCGCCCCCCCAGAACGTGCAGACGGACGCCGTGAATTCCACAACCATCCAGTTCCTGTGGAACCCTCCACCTCAGCAGTTCATCAATGGCATCAACCAGGGATACAAGGTACATGGACCTAGTGCAGAGCCCTGGGTGGCTGTCCTGCTGTGTCATGGTCTTGTGACCAACGAGAAGGCTGCCCACCCCCCATTTCATCAAGAACCTACCACACCGAGTTACAGTGTATGTCGGCCTTGGTAGGGGCTGGGAGACTGGGTCAGCATCTATCCAAGGTCTTATCAGTCCTACTGGTTCAGGAACTCAAATTATTAATTTTCGAGTGGATGGTTCATATATAACAGAGCAATGTCTTTTGAGCAAACCCATTCATTTTAAAATTGCCAGTGGAAGAACCTATCTTGATTGATTGGAATCAAGATTTGTACAAACCATGTCTTCCTGGAAAGGAGTCCTCTCAGAAGAACGAAGGGCACTGGACACAAGTGAATGATATTTCTATCAAGTAAGGGTATTTGTTCCTACCCCCTCTGGATTTAAGGATTTAAGGGAGAGTTCTGTTCATAGAACCAAAGACCAGTGAATCTAGGGCACCTACCTGGACTGAAGTACAGACACAGACAGATCCCCTCCATCCAGCCTCCTTCTGTCCTTAGCTACCAGAATATGTTACCTTCAAAGATGTATTTGGACATTACTTTCAAAGTATAGTTTATTTTGTCAGTTAGATTAGCTTCTGGTTGGACTTGGGGTCCTGTCTTAATTTTGCCTCTAACGTATTCACAGATGTTCTGCAGTAGCAGGTAGACTCAGGGAAGATCTTCATGGAGAAGGGATTCCATCTAGTCTACTCACATTCCTGAATAATTTCAGATGTGGAGAGTATTATTTCCTTAGACACATGGTTCGCATTTATTTTCCATTTGGATTCAACTTACAAAAACACTTTTGGTTTTCACTAGAAAGGCAGATGTAACTAGAAAGTTGCCCTGCCTTTTCTTCTTTTGTTTCTTTTTTCTTTCTTTCTCTCTCTCTTTCTTTCTTTCTTTCTTTCTTTCTTTCTTTCTTTCTTTCTTTCTTTCTTTCTTTTTCTTTTTTTTTTTTTTTGATTGCCCACAGGAATCTACAGTCAGAGCTTTTTTGAAAGAAAATCAAATTGATCAGATCAACCAAGATGATTTTGCCTCCTTGACTTTCCTGTCAAGTCTTATTGGCAAGACCAGAGCATTTGTTCGGTGGCTCAGTGTCAGTGTGATCTGTATAAATACACTTTGTGTCCTTCAGACCCGATTAGTCCTGGGAATGTGTGGCGTAAAAGGAATTAGAAGTCACACTCATACATAGTGTTGCCCACATGTGAAAACAGCGTCCTTTAGAAAATGTAGATGTACTATGTTTCTTTAAAATTGTAATCAACCTCCTACAATTCTTTTCAGAAAACCAGTGTGACATAACATAAATAATTAAGATTCAATCCCATTGAATCAAGGGGCTTCTTTTTGGGCCAGAGCAGATGCCTATCTGGAAAAAATATTTGTGTTCGTGGTTCATTGTCCTGAATAAATTGAATAAAGACAATGCTGTCTTTATTGCTTGGTGTTTGAAAACACGTATGTTCTGCATTATCTTTAAGTGAAGAGTAAGTGAAGGTTTGAGGAAGGTCAGTTATTCCAATATGAGTTAGAGTAAAGATTTTATTTATATGGACATGTATAAAACATATACAAATATATAATCTCAATAATCTAGGAGATATCTCTTAAAGTCAGTATGTTTAAGTGGGACTATAAAATGTAGGATTTATGGAGTTTCTTGATCATGACTTTGCTTTCTTTGAAGTTCTCTTAATCACAAAATAAAATTCTGAGACAAACTTGAGAATGAAGACATGCAATTAATAAGGGTCTCTTTCTCGACCTGTCCCATCCCAGCTTCTAGCATGGCCGGCTGAGGTCCCGGAGGCCATCACCGTGGTCACCATTGCACCAGATTTCCATGGAGTCCACCACGGGTATATAACAAACCTGAAGAAGTTTACTGCTTATTTTACGTCAGTCCTGTGTTTCACCACTCCGGGCGACGGGCCTCCAAGCACACCTCAGCTCGTATGGACTCATGAAGACAGTGAGTACTCCTCTGCCGTGTGTCTTACCAGCCGTCAAGGGGGCCTGGAACGCTGTCTTGTCCAGCATTGGGCGGAGCCCACAGAGGGTCATTAGGAACCTCCGTGTCCTCAGTGTTCCAAGTCTATGCCCTCCAGGCAGATAAGCCAGTGGAAAGTAATGGTAATGAGCGGCGGATGGCGGTCCCTGGAATGGGAAGCCTGGCTAGCGGAAAGAGCTCAGAGGCAAAGAGAAACAGTCTGGTCTCAGCCATGTGGTCAGCCTTTCATCTTGCTGGATTCTCTTCTCCCAGGTTTCAACTTCTAATCCCCTCACCTTCTTCTAGAACGCCCCGTCAGGCCTCCCAGCCTGTGCCTTCCCTGAACCTTCCCAAGGCATCTCACCCTGAGCCCCCCTGAGCACCTTGACTTTGTGTTGTCTCCATCTAGTCAGTTCAGACCAGCTCCTGCTCTGCCCTCAGGCCAGATCACACTGCAGAAGGCATTATATGGCAAAGCTATCTGAGGAAATGACCACAGATGTGTACAAACACGTAGATATGGGGTAGCTCACTGCAGTTATTTGCAACTAGGGGGGAAAAAAGGCAACAAAAACATGCATATATTCCAAAGGGTTGCGATTGACAAAATTATGACATTATACTAAATATTGTGTCATTATTAAAAAAAGTTTTGAGAGAAAATGATCGTGATCTAATGATAAGTGAAAAAAAATAACGCAAAAAACTGTACAAGATCCAAATTTTACAAAAACACAACATGTATAAAACTCCACAGGATAAGACCTTGAAAAAAATATGTCATAATTTTGACAGTTATTATCTCTATGTGGCATGATTAGGGTTTGTTTTACACTTTTGTTTGGATTTTGCTGCATATTCTCATCTCTACAGTGAGTGTGTCCTCTCTTTAAAAGGACAATTGAAACTAGTAGACATTTAAGAGACTGTCATCCAGGGCTGTTACTGGTCTGTCCTCCAGTCCAGGGTGTGGCCAGCCCCCTGTTCCCACAAATGACCCTGATGGGCAGCGTGGCAGTAGGGCCCTGCTCCCTGTGGCCTCAGCCTCTGCTGTGCTCAGAGGCAGCCTTTATAGAGGTCAAGGCCATCCAGGATGAGCTTCCTCCCTCCCAGCTTCCATCTTAGATCCTTCTGTTCACACCCCAGTTCTTCTCTCAGAAGATGGAGAGTCTGACCGTTCTCAGAACCCCCTCCTCTCTCCCTGACTGCTCTGGCCCACTGAGTGCCCGGCAAGCTCACTTCCTTACCAGATAAACTGTGACTTCGACTCCTAAGCTGTCACACCCTCCATAAGCCAGATCTCACTCCACCCTGTGACCGTGACTGCCTTGCCCATTCAATTCTGTAGGTGCCTCGACTGCATGGAGTGACAGGATGATGGGATTTGTCTTTTCAGCGAGGGGACAGATACAGTGGATTGGTTTGCAGATGTTGAGCCAGGCTTGCACACTTGGAGTAAATCCCACTTGGTCGCAGTTTGTAATTAGTTTTTATGTTGTCACATTCAGTTTGCTAATACTTTATCGGAGATTTTTTGCATCCAAGTTGATGAGAGCTATTGGTCTGCAGTTTTATTTTCCTGTATTTACTGTCTGGTTTTGGCATCAGGATAATGCTGGCCTCATAAAATAAATTGGGATGCATTCCCCCCTTCCGCTTTCTAGAGGCATTGGTGTCAATCTTTCTTAAATGTTTGTTTGGTAGCGTTTTCTGGTGAAATCCTCTGGGCCTGGAAATTTCTTTTGGGGGAGCATTTTAATTATACATTCAGTTTCTCCCGTGGTCATAGTGCTATTCAGTTGTCTCTTTAATCTTGGTTTGGTGTCAGTGTCTGTGATTGTCATGTGTGTGGGTGTCACGGTGCTGGCAGTATTCCCTTCTTCTTCCGTGGCTGCAGGACATGCCCTCATGTTCCTGGTTCATTTCTCATATTGGTGATCTCTTTTTCTATTTCTGTCATTCTTCCTGAGATGTCTCAGTTTTCTTGATTTTTTTCTTGAGGAACCAACTTCTTATTTCATTGAGTTTTCTCTATTGTTTTCCTATTTTTGGTTTCATTGATTTCTGCCGCTAATATTTTCTTCCTTCTGCATGCTTTGGGTTTATTTTCTGGTCTTCTTTTTTTTTTTTAATTTCTTGAGTTCGGAACTTAAACTATTGATTTAAACTCTTTACTATTATAAAAGTGCTATAAATTTTCCTCCCCATGCTGCTTTAGCTGCATCTCACATAGTTTGATATATCTTGTTCATATTTTGCTATATTGTGTTTCATTTTCACTCAATTCTATGTATTTTTATTTGTTTTGAGACTTCCTTTTTGGTCCATGAATTATTTAGAAGTGTGCTATTTAGTTTCCTTGTGTTTGGAGATCTTCCTGTTGCCTTTCTGCTATTGATTTCTAGTTTGGTTCCATTATGGTCAGAGAGCACACTTTGTATAATTTCAAATCAATTCCTTTAAATTCATTGAAGTTTGCTCTATGGTACAGCACATGGTCAATCTTGGTAAATGTTTCATCACAAGTGTTTGAAAAGAATAGTATGTATGCTTCTGTGGAACCTACTTTTCAGCTGTGAATTTTATGCAGCACACCCCCACCTCACCACCAGAGTTTAGGATTAAAGGAGAATGTTGATCGCATTTAGCTTTTTCATTTAAAAAAGAATATATGCCGGGGCACCTGGGTGGCTCAGTAGGTTGGGCGTCCAACTTCGGCTCAGGTCATGATCTCGCGGTTCATGGGTTCAAGCCCCGCGTTGGGCTCTATGCTGACAGCTCAGAGCCTGGAGCCTGTTTCGGACTCCCTCTCTCTCTGATCCTCCCCTGCTCGCTCGCTCTCTCTCTCTCTCTCTCTCACAGAAATCAAGCATTGAAAAAATTTTTAAAAAAAGGATATATGCCTATCTCATCAAGTCTTGTTCCTACTGTAATTATATCATAATTAAATGCTCACTGACTGGTTCATTCACCAATCCATCCAACACAGAAACAAGTCTGTACACTTAACATTCACACGTCTGTGGAATGTCCACCATGTGCGAGGTAGCCTGCTGGGTGTCGAAAGGGTTGCCAAGATAAGTAAGCACAACCTCTGCCTTTAGAGCTTACACCCTAATCAGACGTGAGGGAAGTGGCTAGGGCCAGTGCCACTAAGGAGGGAGGCCTGGAGAAGGGGCTACAGCCACACAGTGAGCAGGGACAGAAAATAGCTGGGGTATTGGGTAAGTCTTGTGGAGGAGGTGATAATTTGACTACTGAGCTATCCATGCAGAGAACAGCTGAGGACCCTTCAGGGAGAAGAAATAGAACCATGAGAGCAAGGAGGGTGTGCGAGTGAGACGGGGTACAAGGTGTTGGGCATGGCTGCAGCGCAGCATGTGGGAGTTGGGTGGCGGGTAGTGAGCCAGGAAAACTAGCTGGGAGCTGACCAAGAAGTCTCGACCACCAAGTTCAGGCACTTGGACAAAGACATTCTGGGCATTGGGGAACCACCGAAGGTTCTCTGTTAGGGGTTCTGTTTGAGCATATCTGTGGTTCCAGAGGCTCTGATTGGGGGTTTTGTGATGGGGGGACAGGAGGTACGGGTGGAGGATGCTGGGAAGAAGGCACGAAATTATGAGAGTCTACCTCCAGGCTGTGGAGACAGCAGTAAGGGGAGATGGACCCTGAAGACATGTCACAGGGAATTTGGGCCTCGCTAATAGAGAGGGGCTCATTAATATGAAGGAGCTCATTAATATGGGGGAGCTCATTAATAGAATCGGGCTGAATATGTGGTCTAGGCAGATGGAAACATTTGAAATCAGTTCTACCCCAGGGTGCCTGGACTGTAAGATCCCTGGCAGTTAAAGCCACCTAAGCACCTGATGTCACTCTAGGGATCAGGTGGGCAGACTGTGGGGTAAGGAGGTTAAGTCAAGGGGAAGCCGCTGGGCTCTGGCCCAGTCATGCAGGAGCGGCGGGTTTGGGGACTGAGGGTACAGAGGGGGCACGCAGGGGACCCAGGTAGGGGCTTGGAGAAGGAGGCAGCCTTGCCTGGAAGAAGGGTCCTTTCTGTACTCATATGTAGGAAAGCACAGCCCACCCCCCTCACATCTGTAGACGGAGTGGGGAGGGAGCTAGTGGGGGACACACTTTATGAGAATCCCCCTTCTAGATCTCCATTATGTGCCTGTTTTCTGCGATTTCATTTATTGGAGGAAGAGGCAAGGCAACTCTCCACTCAGGCCGCAGCCAGGTCCAGCTGGGTCGTGGACTTCCCTTCCCAGAGGGTATTTATTAAAAACACAAAGTGGCAGGGGTGCCTGGGTGGCTCAGTCGGTTGAGCATCTAACTTCAACTCAGGTCACGATCTCACGATTCATGAGTTCAAGCCTCACGTCAGGCTCTGTGCTGATAGCTCAGAGCCTGGAGCCTGCTTCCAATTCTATGTCTCCCTCTTTCTCTGCCCCTCACCTGCTGGTACTCTGTTTTTCTCAAAAAATAAATTAAAAAACATTTTATTTTTTTTTAAATTTTTTTTTTTTAATGTTTTATTTATTTCTAGGAGAGAGAGAGAGACAGCGTGAGCAGGGGAGGGTCAGAGAGAGAGGGAGTCACAGACTGAAACAGGCTCCAGGCTCTGAGCTGGCAGTCAGCACAGAGCCCGACGCGGGGCTCGAACCCGAACCGCGAGATCATGACCTGAGCGAAAGTCGGACGCTTAACCGACTAAGCCACCCAGGCGCCCCTTAAAAAACATTTTAAAAATAAAAAAAAACACACACACACAAAGTGGAAGAAGATAACTCCTTCCAAACAAGAGAAAACTTCTGGCTGGATTGTTTATAGGAAGGGAGGGAGGGACGGAGGGAGGGAGGGAGGGGGAGAGAGAGAGAGAGAGAGAGAGAGAGAGAGAGAAAGAAAGAAAGAAAGAAAGAAAGAAAGAAAGAAAGAAAGAGCATTGTTGCTGGTTAAACAAGCAGACAGAAATGGTAGGGAAACATCCCATTAAGCTCTGTGGCCAGGAAATAGAACACGAAGTGCATTTAGACCATTAGTAGGTAAAAAGAAATATTGGACATTTCTTCTTGAGAATTGAGAAAACTAGAAGTAATATCATCTTTTGAGGGTTTTCTAATTGAGTCACAATTGGGTTGGGATATCCTCCTCGGAATGTGGACTCTCTCACAGAAAGGCGGAGGCAGGGCTGATAGCTTGGCCCCTGGGGGCTGTAGGCACAGCCTCCCTTGCTCTCTGGCCGACAGCACCTCCCTTCACTGCACATCCAGCACTTCTGCAGGGCTCCCCTGCGATTGGGACCTGGCGGCGGGGTGGCAAGGGTGGGCAGCGCAGCAAAGAGGAAACAGAGTATAAATTTTAAGCCCAGACATTGCCAGCTGGTTCCGGCAGAGCTGGAGGATAGCATATTTGGGCAGGAATCCAAGAAGCAGAAACACCGAGAATATAAAAGGAGCAAAAAGCTTTCTTTGCTGCATTATTGATTGAAAAAAAGAACAAGTCAGTTCAAAAATCCATCAGAATGTCTTTCTGGAAACTCAGAACGGGAGGAAGATGAGCGGGTTTCAACAGCTGTTCTATTTTCCCATCTTCCCAGCTCAGAGAGTGGCATTTGTCAGTTTTTGAGCTTATCCGTACAAAGTCTTTTGAAAGTTCCATCCAGATAAGTGTATTTGCCGAGGCTGTTGCCTTTTTTTTTTTTTTTGTCAAATCACAAGTTGTGTTAGGAAGCTTTATCCAAGTACCGGCTGAGGACCTGGTATCAAATCCACCTGTGCGCTCGAGAGGCCGGCTGTAGCCCGAAAAGGGCTGAGGCTTCTCCCCGGGTGTGCTCCTCTGCCCTCCGGCTGGACAGCCATCACCCATCACCCATGACGTCATGCTCTCCCATTTTACACTTGAAATATTACACTGTGTTATTATTAGAAAGATCTCAGTGTGGCCCGTTCGGGCTGGAGGAGTCCTCGTGGCTGGAGGAGTCATGTGGGCAGAGAGCTCAGCGGGAATTGGCTCCCCCCACCCCCGAGGGTGGGGTCCTGTGCTGAGCGACGGGAGTCCCCTCCCCCCGGCTCTCCTCCTGTTCCTCCTGGCCTTGCATGCCGCAGCCGCTGTGAAGCGTCTGAGGGGTCCCGGCGGGAGGCTGCTCATGGGGTGCCTGGCCCTGCGGGTCCATGACCTTGGATTGTTGACCTCATGATGGGCCTCTGGGACTTCCTGTCTGGGTGCATCTCAGACGTGACTTTGTGTCAGGTAGTAGGACAACTGGGAGCTAAGAATAGCAGCCAAGACCACTAGTAGCTCTTATTGTTTCATTCAACTGTATTCTCACATTTACCTCGCGCAGGAGTTATTTTTCTGGTCCCCATTGTACAGAGGTGCAAACAAAGGCTTACAGAGTATAAGGAATCGCGGTAGAGACAGGCCTCGAGCGCAGCCAGCTCATCGTTAAGCCACCATTCCGCCCTGCAGCCCTCTGAAGTCAGAACGGCTTAGGGCCACAGCGCAGGCCGGATGCCCGGGTGCCAGGCGCTGCTGGTGTGGCCTGGTGGTTTCATTAGATCAGATGGAGGAGAAGGAGAGTGAAGTCTATAATCGTCCTACTGCCTGTCGCTTGGGTTCTCAGCTTGGCTGGGGTGAAGCTGAGTAAAATAAATTACATGCCCAGAGCCTGGACGCCTTACACCTCGAATTCCCTCCCCTCCGGAGGAGTTTGTATGGCTCTGGCCTGCAGGCTACCCTTCCCAATTTAGAACTTCCCACACAAATCTGACCCAAAGAAAAGGGGCTCTTGTGCTAACAGACAACTGTTTTTAATTGCTAGGACCAGGAGCTGTGGGCCACCTGAGTTTCACGGAGATTCTGGACACCTCCCTCAAGGTCAGCTGGCAGGCACCTCTGGAGAAAAATGGCGTTATTACAGGTTAGAGTCCCTGTCTTGGGAAAAAGGAAATGCAACTGGGTCCCAGGAAGGGTGACGGCCTTGCCTTACCCACCATAGCCTGCCGGGAGGGCATGCACCAGCGACCTCTTCCAGAAGTGGCCGTGTCCCCCTGGCCATCAGCAGAGGGCACGAGGCTTGGTCACCATGCCCGAGCTCACGCCCCTGGACCCCACCTCCTTTGGGGCATTTCCCTGATGGCCGCACCTTTCCAGGCCACGCCTCCTTGTGTTATCTTAACAAACATCTAGAGCCTTTGGTCAGGGGAATCAACATTTTGTGGGGCGTTGCCTCGCGCACACCACCCCCCTCGATTCACGAGACGACGCGGCCAAGTATGTGCCGATATTGTGATGGATTCTCAGAAGATGCTGAGGCCGAGGGCACTCCTTCCGCATGCATGCACCAGACGCCTACTGTGTGCAGATGCTTCGTAAAACCCTGCAATCAGGCAGCAGCCAGAATGCCGGGGCTGCACAAGGAAGCCCGGGTATCCTGGCCCAGGTGCCTTCCCCTCACCCTCCGTACAATGCCCTCAGGGTACCCCAGGTGAGGACAGCCAGCCAGCCCACAGGTGGGCTCCTCTCCTGCTGCAGGTGTCTCTGGGGAGCAGCTCACCTGTTGAAGAGCTTTGATTTTTGTCATATAGAAAAGGTTTCACCATTTATTCAAGCGTAATTTAAATCTTGGCTTGAAAAAAGTAAATTCTGGGTTTGGTAACAGCCACGCAGGTTTAGGCCTCAGGTCAGGGTGGGAAGGACCATGCTCCACTGTTGCAGCGGCTCTGGGGGCTTTAGTTCACCTCTCAGACCCTCTGTGTCTTCATCTGGACACCAGCCAGCTGTCACGGGTTTGTAGGGAGGAGGCCCCAGGCGGCCACACACAGCCCCCTTCCAGAGCGGCGGCCCTGCCGGCCCCTTCCGTTTAGTGAGTGCTTCATGAAAGGCCAAGCCAGCAGCCCCATTCCCACAGCGTGGCCACCCGCTCTGGGCCTTTGCCCACAGTGTCGCCTGTTGTGTTCGGGGCTCCTGCCTCCGCCCTTGAAGCCTGGACCCTGAGGCCTAAGGGGGACTGAGCTCCTGAGTGAGTGGTGTCCATCCTGTCCATGAGTCAGCGACGAGCCTGGGCTGCATTGCCCCTCAGTGGATGATTCTGTAGCCTGACTGCCCACAGCAGCCTGTGAAGGCCCCCCTGTGCCCGACAGTCCGGAAGCCTATGCACGCTTGCCGCACACCAGACAGACCAGGAGTGATGTGTCCCCACTCCCTGGCCTCGGGCTGTGTCCTGGACGGGCAGGCACCTTAGCAGTGCAGGGTCATCTTCAGTTTCGAACAAGCACCCAGAGCACCTCTTACAACCCCTGTCTGAGACCCTGGGTGTGGACATCTGGGGTCATGTGGCCAGCACAGGGGGACAAGTGTCTGTGTTCTGGCCTCACCCCCTCACTGTGCCAGTGGTGGGGTCCAAACCATGTTCCTAACTCCAGCCCAGGGGCTTCCATCTTCTGGGGGCCACAGCCTCCCACCGAGTTTCCTCACACACCTGGCAGCTCTCTTTACGAGGTCAGTGGTGCAAAAAACGCACTTTGTGCAAACAACTCAACAGCTGAATTTGAAATTAATAGAAAGAAAACACATCTGTATTTCCTTCTTCAAGCAAATAGGACATGTGTTCCTCATCTTCCTGACGGGATTGGGCTCTGCCCACCTTCTCGAACATGGGACCAGAGCGGACCCCGCCACCTTGATTCCATTTCACACATCGGTCCCTATGTTGGACCCGCTTCCATACCACAGATACCACCAGAAACCCAGCTCTGCAGAGGCAGGATGTGGGCAGAGGCGTGTGGCACGCCCCGTTCTTGAGATTGGGAACCACTCATGCCCGAGGGTCCCGTTGTCCCCTGTGGACATGGGTGGGAGGCACCCAGCATCACTGTGTCCCCATGCTGTTTCTGGGACTCCGGGCAGTGACCCGGCTGTCCCGGGGCATAGCCTGGGTGCTGCCTTCCTACCCTCAACTCCTCTGTCCTCTTCCATTAGTCAGGAATCTTCCTGCTGCAAGTTTCTCCGGTTTGTCCACAAAACACCACCTTGTCCCCTGAGCTCAGCGAGAGGCCCCTACCGACTACTGTGCTCAGACCACGTCCCGGAGGGCACCTCTGCCCTGATGCTGCCTCTACCCCTAACTTTTAACCAGAGTACATTTGTGGGTCTGGTTCTGCCCTCAGAGCTAATGTTTTGAAGTGCCTACTGAAGTGGCTACTGCCAGGAAAAGGGAAAAGCCACTGTGGACACCAGACAGCAGGGCCCAGATCTGTTGTGCGCCCGGCAGCCCCCACAGCATCCATCGGAGGGCAGGTGTGAGTGTGTGAAACCTCAAAGGCGTCCTGGCACCAGGAGCCCAGAAACTGAACAAAGTGCGGGGTGGGCTGAGACAGCAGGAGCCGGTGTAGTTTAACGTTGCTTTATACCAGGCAGAGCGGGGAGAAAGCAAACCAAGCAGGGCTCAGGAGAAGCACTTGGAGGAAGGCTGCCCTTGGAAGCAAAGGGCATCCGGCTCAGACCCCTCCGGGCCCTGTCCCGTCCTGTGGCCAGAACGAGAGCTGCGCTCAGCACCCACCTCAGAGGCGGGCGTCCCCGTGTGCGTGCCTGGGCTCCGTGACTGCCGTGTCTCAGAATTCTGGCCGGCGCTCCTTGGTGGACATATGTGGACACAGAGACGTCCCTTCCGACAGATACACCCTTGGCCCACGCCCTGTCCTTTGTGAATGTACTGCACACCTCACTCCTGGTGTAAATCTGCGGGTAGGCGCACAGACAACACGTAATCACCGAGCAGAGCCAGCATGGCACAGCTGAGCGGTGGTTGCCAATACTTGCGATTTATGATCATCTGTTCTCAGCAGCTAATAGGGCTTAATGAACTCATTTTCGTATTTTATTTAAACAAATACCTGTGCTTACAAGCAGCAGACTGTTGTAGCTGAGCATAGGGCTTGGCCTTTGGAGCTCCTGCCCACTAGGGTCCTAGGCTGGCAGCTCACCACACTGCGGTCTGGCTCCACTGTGACCTCAGTGCCGCAGGCAGATGCCCCCGCCTTCCCCACCGGTCATGTGGTCCCTGCCTCGCCCTGTCTGCCCTGTGCTGTCCACTTTCCCGCTCAAACTCTACAGTGTGCCTGGGGTCCCTGCAGCTCTGGGAGGCCTGGTGGCCCTGCCCTTGGAAAGACCCTCCCTGGCCCAGGAGGCTTGGCTCTGACAGGTCAGCACCCTCCCTCAAGTGGGTTCCTGGCAGGCATGCCGGCAGCACCCTGCAGTCTGCCCCAGGCTCCAGGTGGATGATTCACCAAGTGCAGCAAAAGGAAAGCCCGGGTTGTGGGCAAACCCAGCCTCCAAACGCCACCAACTGTCCTTCTGGAGCCTCCTTGTCAGCATAGCTGCTGCTGGGGCCGATGACAGCGGCGCAGTGTGGTCCTCCGCATGGGGTGCTCGGTGGCCGAGTTGCCCGGAGGAAAGCATTCTTTATCCATCCCGACACGACGTGAGCAGCCCTGTGCCTCCCAGTCAATTCACGGCCAGAAAGAGAGGGCAGCCCCAAGCAGGGGTGGCATGCCTGCTGAGCAAATTGCCCATTGCGCTTATTGTAAATTCCAGCATCTTCCCCTCTCCCAGCGTAAACTCTGATTTATGAGGGCCGGGATGCAGACAGACAGCTTGTGATTGGATGTACTGCTCTCTTGTAGAGAATTTACTTCAGATCAACAGAAAATTATTTCTGAAGCTCCTGCAGTCGTTAGTCTCCGTTAGGCAGCATTCGGAGCAGGTAGAAGGCCTGCTGAAGGCGCCCAGTGCTGGCCTGGCGGCCTCTCCTGCCTTCTCTGGTGGCTGCAGCAGGTGACACATCCGTGGGCCAGAGCCGCCCTGCACAGCCGTGCTTTCCTGCGCCCTTCCTGAGTAGATGAGCGTCATTCCGCAACGGTCGTGGCCCCCCCAGCGGTCAGGTGTGATGCTGACGGACCCCAGCAAGCCTGCCCCTCCCAGCGAGGACTCCAGGTTGCCACGACGAGCAGCATGCTGCATTTCCATAAAGTCTGATAACCAACAGATCTGAAACAGATAAATCCATCTGACGGACAAGCCAGTGGCATTACACGAAGCCTCCTTCTCCTGTACATTCCGGGAACATGCTGGCCATCAAACAGCACAGAGATGTGCCCGGTGGAGGCTAGGTCAGGGCTTTGGAGACAGGGTCATGCTCGGAGGCTCTGTGGGGAGCACACAGTCCAGGCCAGCCGTCCCCAGCAAGCTCACGACCCTCTCTGCTGCTTGATTTCCCTGTTGTAGAGGGGCAGGGATGGCACCGGCTGGGAAGGTCTCTGTGAGGATCAGATGAACCAGTGTGCTCAGAACACCAGGAACACAATGCATGTCTAAAGCCGTTAGTACTCATTGCCCAGAAGCTTTGATTTTTAATCATACAATAAGATCTAAAATTCTGAATTGGCAAAATGAAAAGAATGGATTGGTCTGGCACACTGAGGAGAGAGGCTGGACATGGGGCAGGGGGTGAAGAAGGCAAGTCTAGGGGTAGAAAGAGCAGAGCAGCGGGGGCTCACCCGGCAGGGCACGTGTGGGGCTCTCTCACCCCAGATACCCCATCAGCATGGTCTATCCTGGGGGCCTGGTGTCCGCACCCCGAAGTCCCCGGGCTGTGGGACTGCAGACGGACAGCAGCTTCTGACATAAATTTTTTTTCCAAAATATTAAAATCCCGAGATGCTCTCTAAATTCTTATTTACCTGCAAGCATAAGCTCCTAACGATATTTATTGCTTTCATCAGAACGAGCTCTAAGCCTCCTCTCAGTGCTTCAGTGTCCCAAGTTTATCGACTGGAAAGAAGGAAGAGCGGGCGTTTTCGGGAGTTCCCTCGCCGGTGGGCCCAGGAGCTCCCCCATCACTGTCTTCGCCCTCAGGAGGCCCTGTGAGGGGCCTGTAATCACATCAGCTCCCCTCCTCAGGGGCTGATTCAGGATCTTGCTGAGGCTTTTGTTCCCTGAGCCTAAAATCACAGTAGCATCCAAGGTCGACTAAACTATCATGGCAAGCCACCCCCACCCCCCGGACTAAGCAGTGTCCAGAGGAAGATGAAATTTCGCCGGGAAAACGGGAGGCTCAGAAGGTGGGGAGGCAGCAGAAGTCGTGCACCCAGGCACCAAGGAACTTTTTAGGCAAAGCGCTTTGTGCGCAAGAGAACATCTATCAATCATGTCATGAGGGAGAAAGTGGCAGTGTTTCCACACGTTAGCTGCAACCCAGGAGCCGGCTCCTGATTTAGAGGAGGGTATAATGAAAATACCAGCCTACAAAAATGGAAATATTGATGAAACACATCCAAGTTTTGACAAGAGTTGAAATCACACACCACGGGCTGGCGCCCATCACTCATCTCTCCTCCACTCAGCTCAGGTGCTGAGGTCACCAAACATGAGCAGCCCACCAGGTCTCAGGGGACGGGCATTGTGGGCTGGGGAGGGGCGATGGGGCGACTCCAAGGTTCGTTGGGGCCGGGAAACAGGACCTCCTTCCGCCTGGATGCAGACCTTCAGAGATGGCGGCCTCAGGCTCCCAGGGAGCCCGCTAACCATGTGCTCTCTCGTAGGCTACCAGGTCTCCTGGGAGGTGTACGGCAGGAATGGCTCCCGCCTCACCCACACCCTCAACAGCACGGCTCACGAGTATAAAATCAGAGGACTGTCTTCACTCACCACATACACCATCGCCGTGGCCGCCATCACCGCCGCGGGGGCTGGCCTGGCGACCTCGTCCACCATTTCTTCGGGAGTGCCCCCAGGTCAGTAGAGCCCTGCTGCCGCCTCTCTAAGGACAGAGACGGCGGATGCCCGGGGCTGATGGCACTCTGTGTCCCGGCCACCAGGCACCTTCAGAATGGGGGTGTTGGCTTCCTGCTGGCGGCAGGGTGGTGAGTGGGCCCCGTGACCTGAGTCAGCCCTGTCCGCCAGCACCTGCTGTAGGGGGGAGGGGAATCATGCCCCGGGAGCAACCCGGCCTCAGGGTGCTGCTCTCCAGGGAGATGGTAGTCAGGGCCTGTGGGGAAGACGCCAGCTTCCTCTGGGAGACATCAGCATGAAAACCGAGAGCAGGGAGCCTGAAACTTCATTCCCTGAATGACACAATGGAGACTCGGTTGGAGATAAGAAGGATTAGAAGGAGGCAGAGGGGGCGGAAGATCCTCCAGACAGAGGGAGAGGCAGACTCTCCCCGGCACCAGGGACTCAGATTATCTCCCTGAACGTGCAGCACGCTTACTCCAGCCTCAGAGAATGGCACTCACCTCTTTTCTCCCTAATCTTAAAGTTTCTGTTTAAAATACATGTTTTTCCTGGGAATTCACATACATAAGTGAATATAGGAAAGTGTGTGGGCTCTCAGATCGACTCTGTAATTCAGCTATCAGTCTCTGGCAGTGTCCAAGACGCCAGCTTGCTGCATGCTGGCTGGTCTCTGAGCGGAAGGCCCTAAAGCCCCCTCTGAAGTCCGCATGTCCCCCCATCGTGCCCTCCACACACCCCCTTCCCATTCCACCTTCACAACCAGCCACTTTCTTGTAAGGGGGACACACGCGATCTGGAGGGGATGCAAAGCAAATAAAATGCATAGAGTAAAAAAAGGAATGAGTGCGTTCTCCTCACAGGGGCCGCGTTCACGAGAGCTCCGCAGTCCCCCTCATTGTGTGCAGCACAGGAAGAGGGCACGGTGTCTCATCTCCTCTGAGCAGCGCGACCTCATAGGACACTGTCTAGAGGCCACTGGCCACCTACCCTGCTAGCTGGGCAAGGTCCCCAAGCCAGTCTCTGTCCCCAGATAAATGGTTACCACACGGCCACCCACAGCCCATCCCAGGGGCTGCTGTGGAAGCACAGTGTGGGGCCTGCGCGGGTGCTCAGGCAGTCAGGGACCGTGCTTTGAGGCAATCCAGTGTCTCTTAAAGGCATTTACAAAACAAGTTTACTTTTTGAAAGAAAGTGGTCTTTGGCTTACAGAAAGATTCGTTTATTTGCTGTCCATGGCACACATTTAAAACACCGTTAACGCCCTAATAAGTAGTGATGACAGCAGGACACTGGGTGTGTTAGGATCGTCTTGCGCTCAGCGATGCACAGAGACTCGGGGAGCAGTGCCATGTGTGTCCAGGTCCCCCGAGTCAGCTCGGGCACCGTCCAGACCTCTGGAGTCACCACAGAGCGAGAACTCCAGGGGAGAGGGCCCCACTGTGCCAAGTTAGCCTTGGTGAACTCACCTGCACCCAGACACGGGTCCGGGGCCTCCCTGAGCACCCTGAGATTCGTCTAGAAGCAAACTCACGCCCACCATCCCATCGCGCTGGAGGACCGTATTCTCCTTGCTGCGCTTCAGGTTCACAGCCATTAAATATCTGGAGCACCATTTAAAGAATCCAGGGAGCTGAGAAATACAAAGACAAGAGTCCCTTGTCCTTCGATTTAAACATTTTCCGCTTCAGAGTCATTAAACTAGATGCGGAAAGGACCCTTGAGGGCCTAGGGACCCTGCCTGTGCTGCTGCTCCTCTGACCACTAATGCGGCCTTACTGTCCACACGCACGTCCCAGTTTTCAGTACCCCCAGCGTGGGCAGACCGGGACAAGTGCCTCAGACGCTCGGGCTGCACACACTCTCTGCTGCCTCCGTGGTGTCCTTGCCTGCTTCGCCCCCACCTCAATCTTCCCCATTTGTGCTGCCAAGTAAGATAAGAGCCCACATGTTGGATTCACAGTTTCTCCCTTCTGAGCAGGACGGGATCTTTGTGGGAACAGCTTGCCCAAGTCCTCTACTCGGGGAGGCTGAGGCCCCAGGTAACCTACCGGGGTGAGAGTATGTTCAGAACACCCCCCCCACACACACACACACACTGCTTTCTGCTCCTTTAGTTGCTGGAGCAACTGAACTCAGGAGGAGTGGGCCGAGCCCTGCCTTCTCAGCTGAGTGTGGTTGTCTTGGAAACCAGACCCGGGAGCCTAAGGCTCAGGACCCGTGCACCTGGCAGCCGTACATGGTGCCTGCTGCCTCCTGCCCGCCCCACCCCACTGGGCCGGCTTCTCGGGCATCACCAAAGAGACGGTAGCTGTTTGGCCTTTGTGCTCCTCCTGGGGCCGGGAAGAACGACATCCGCTCACACTCTCCACCTCCAGCCCGTAGCTACTCCTTCCCGGCTGTGCACAGAGACGAGTGAGTCCTACCTGCCGACTTTATCGTCTGGAAGCCACACATGTCCTCAGCCCACTGCAGAGGCCGTGGGGCGACGGGCAACCCTAGGAAAGAAAGGACCGTGCTCAGGTCACGATCCCAGGGAGCAGTGCTCCTCACTTACGGGGCTTTGAAAACAAATCCAGGCATCTTGTCCTTGCCGACACATTCGATGCATTTCCTAAGCTCTCGGAGCCTTGCATCTCCATGTTTCCCCTCTCCTCTGTCCCCAGAGCTCCCTGGTGCCCCGTCCAATCTGGTCATTTCCAACATCAGTCCCCGCTCAGCCATACTTCAGTTCCGCCCTGGCTACGACGGGAAGACGTCCATCTGCAGGTGGATCGTAGAGGGACAGGTATGTGCTTGCGGAAGCGGACAGCTGGCTCTCCAGAGGGCCGTATGGGGCCCGCACATGGCAGCAGGAGACTGCAGAATGGCTGGTCAGCAACACGGTGACTCTCGGGACGGGGCTGGGGAGGGGCCGTGTTTGGAGAACAAGAGACTGGAGACAACAGGCTGGGAGGGCAGGATGTGGGAGGGTACACCAGGGAGGGACAGGACCTGCGGTCTGCAGGGGCCATAGAGGGAGTGGTAATCGACGTTCGTGTTCAAGTTTTGGCTCCAAATAGGTACCCAAATTGGATAGCACGGTTGATTTATTTCTTTTCAATTCCATGTCACAGTTAGCCACCAAATGTATGCGTGGGTGAATACACACTATGCAGCGAGTGTGCTTGTTCCCAGGCACTTTCCAGGCTATAAAGTGAAAAGGAGGGATTTCTGTCTTGGGAGAAAGGCACCCAGGCTGCTGGGAAAGGAACTTGCACACCAAAGTCTAGGACCCAGCAGGGAGGCCCGAGGGCAGGTCGCACAGGGGCCTCGAGCCGGGGCTCCATGGGACTGGGGAGCATCATGTGGGCCACAACTCCATGTTCCTGCAAGAGCAGGAAATAAAAAGCTAAAGAGACAAACTGTGGAAGCAGTGACGTTTCCACGTTGTTCTTGTGTATATGAAAATCCCAACGACATTAGTAGGCGTGCTCTACTCTCTTGGGAGACAAGTCACTTCTGCAAAGTGGCAGTGAATTAGAGGACAAATTCCACATGCATCCTCAAAATGTTCACTAAGCAACTCTTTCCAAAAACCCATGCAGGATTCTGAAAGTGCAAACCTGCTAGTTGGGACTCATCGATAAACGGGACTGCGACAATGATTTCCTTAGAGAAAGGTCCCTCAGAAATACCTGGGCGAGGCCAGTAGAGCACGTGGGGACCTCCTGCGTACCACTGCTCATGGGTCACGGGACGGCTGAGCCCCGGGGATACCAAGGGGGCAGGTCTGTGAGCTTTAACCCTGCACATGAGGCTCGGCTGGGACATAAGGACATGGAAATGCCCACACCGTAGCGGCTCGCCAAACAGGGGCTTAGCTTCATGCCTCTGGGACCAGACTGTATTGTCTTCCGGAATTCAGTTGCAGGGCTCCAGCTTAACATGAGGGGGTCTGGGAAGGGACTCAGTATGCCCAAGAAGAGGAAATGCTATGGGGGACACAGAGCGCCTTCTCTGCCACAGGACATTTGCTTGGTGCTGCTGTCCCATGACCACGGATCTTTATGTTTTGAACATAAAAAATTTCAAATATACCCAAGAGAAAGACAATAACACAGTGAACTCCCATGTTCCCATGACCTAGACTCATCTATTATCTAGATTCATCTGGTCCCCCTCTTTATTGGTGCCAAGGTGGGGGTTTTTTTATGCTTTTATGCCATAAAATGCAGCTATGAAAAATAACAGTAAAGATTACCTTCATTGACTTACTGACATAGAAGCTGTTCCCACAAATATTGTTTAATCCAAACAAGCAGATCAAAAGTAGTATGAGTTGTGTTATATGAAGTCATTTACACAGAATTATGTGGTGATATTTGTGTATGGAATGGTAATGCTGGTGGCTCATCTGGTTAGCTAATTTGACTTCTCAACATATACATAGTCACACACACACGCAATTACACACATACACACATCTGTCCATCATTCCTCCCAGTTTCATTGAGACATAATTGGCATACGTCACTGTCTCAGTTTAAGGCATATAGCCTGAGGATTTGATTCAACCACAGTGTTTTAAAGCACAGCTCAGACCGCACACCATCTCCCCACAGATTTCTAGCATGTGACTCTAAAGTATAGGTGTCCGTAGCTATTATGTGGATGAAATTTCATGAACATGATGTTGAGCAAATGAAGCTGGACTCGTGTTTCAAGTATATACTGTTTGATTTGTTGTACGTAAAGTTCCAGACCAAGAAGTACTCTTTGGGGTTGGAATCCCAACTCCCCTTGGGGTCTTACAGTTCCACTGGGGGAGAGGGGGACTGGAGCCCATGGAACGCTGGGAGCGTTGCTTCTTGGTCTGATAGTGAGCTCCGTACGTGTGCTTATCTTCTGCACGCGCCCAGGGTTGGTGCACTTTTCTGTATGTCTGTATTTCCTCTGATAAAAACTTTACATTAAATATGAATACTTCTGGGGCGCCTGGGTGGCTCAGTCAGTTAAGTGTCCAACTCTTGATTTTGGCTCAGATCATGATCTCACAGTCATGAGATAGAGCCCTACATCGGGCTCTGTGCTGACAGCATGGAGCCTGCTGTGAGATTCTCTCCCGCTCTCTCTGCCCTGAGCTCTTGCAATCTCACTCTCTCTCTTTCTCCCTCACTCACTCAAAATAAATAAATAAACTTAAAAAAAATAAACCTTTAGGGACACCTGGATAGCTGAATCAGTTAAGCATCTGACTTCAGCTCAGGTCATGATCTCACAGTTGGTAGGTTCAAGCACTGCTTTGGGCTCTGTGCTGACAGCTAGCTCAGAGCCTGGATCCTGTTTCATGTCCTGTATCTCCCTCTCTCTCTGACCTTCCCCTACTCACGCTGTCTCTCTCTCAAAAATAAATAAACTAAAAAACATTAAAAAAATAAACCTTTAAAAATTAAAATAAAAGAAAAAATGGATACTTTCAAAATTATAATTCCATTATCACACCTGGTAAGGGTGATTAAAAATTCCTTACTGCCATCTAATAATCAGTCCACATTCAAATTTCCCAAGAATATTTTTTTACTATGGTTTTGATGAAAAACAAGATCCAACGCAGACTTGACACTCTGCATTTGGTTGTCATGACTCTTCTTAAATTGTTTAAGGAAATTTCTTAACAGCTTTATCAAGGTTTAATTGGCAGTCAATAAACTTGATATTTCTAGAGTATACAGTTCAGTAAGTTTTGACTTAGTTGTATGCATTCCTGTGAAACCCTCGCCATGGTCAAGTTGATGAGCAAACTCCTCACCCCTAGAAGTTTTAGTGTGCCCTTTATGACCCCCAGCCTCCTCCCTCCCCCCTCTCCTGTCCCCTGCCTGTCCCCTACAAAGGCGAGTCTGCCTTCTGTGTCTCTAGGTTTGGACCCTTCATCTATTTCCAACTCATATTTAAGATTACTTGAGCTTTGAGTTTACATTTGAAATACCTTTTATCTGAAATTGTGTTTTTAGAAACACTAACATCATGACTTACTTCCTATCTCCTACTATTGTATAAGGAGTTTCAAAATTATAATTTCAATGGTGCTACTCACAAAAAGGGTACTGAGTGCAGAGTCGTATTTATCCTTGGATTGTGTTATGCTACACCCAACGTACTGTCAAAATCCTGACTTCTAAGTTAGTTTCAGTTTGGTTGAATCATCAACATGATACAAAACTAGGTTCATTCATCTCAAGGTTTGGTTTGGCTTGGTTCTTTTTGCTTCAGTATTTAGTGAATGCTTTCTTTAAAAATCACTTTACTTCTAAAAAAGTCATTAACAAATATTAAGTTCGATTTATTTTTGAACATGTAACTTACTTGCATGAGCTCAAAGTCAAAACCATATGTGGGTGTATTCAGAGAAATCCATGTTCCCCTTTCCCCCTTTGCCCTATGGCCTTGTCCCCCAAAAGCCCCATATTAGGTTTTCAGTTTATCCTTTTTTGTCTTTTGCAACATGAGCGACTGCACATGTTTATGGCCCCACTTGTTACTCAGAACGCAGCACACGGCTCTCTTGGCCTGAATGCAGGTCCAGAAGACCGTGTGCGCTGTCAGGCCTTCCCACAGATGCAGCTCTCCCCGGTGCCGACGTGCCAGGCCGCTGGACTCCCTTTACTGCCATAACAGATGACGGAGACCTTAGCGGCAGAAACAACACCCATGCGCCGTCTCACGGTTCTGTGGTCAGAGGTCCAGCCGGGGTTTCCTGAACTAAAATCAGCGTGTCGGCAGGGCTCCATCCCCGTCCGGAGACTCGAGAGGACCATCCGTGTCCTTCTGGTTCAGGGGTTGTCAGAATTCACCTCCTCACGGTCCTAGAACCCAGCTGACCGTCACCACCCCCAGCTTGCAGCGGCCACCATGTTCCTGGGCCTGTGGCCCCCCTTCCTGTACCTTCCCGCACCTTCCCAGCCAGCTGAGACAGGTCTCTCTCATTCCTCCCCTCCTCCCCCTCCTTTCATCTCCTGTCTGTGAGCCCCCTCCTGCCCCCCTCTGCCACTTGTAGGGACTCGGGTGAGTAGACTGGACCCATTCAGATAATCCAGGATAATCTCCCTACTTAAGGTTCTTAACCTTAATCACATCCGCTGAGTCCCGTTCGCCAGGTCAGGTAACACACACAGGTCCCAGGGACGTGGGTGTGGAATTCCCCAGTGTGCAGACATTATTCTGCCCAAAGGCTGTCTTCGGCCTTTTGCACAGTCATCTGGAATTTTGGGGATAGATTCCTGGGAGTAGGACTTGCTGCATCAGACAGTGACTGTGTAAATATTCCAGACGTTAGCAGATCCCTCTACCACATTTGTTGGGACATTTTGCACTCCCATCAGCTGTGTATGTAAATTCTTACCATGCCTCCCCCCACTCCAAAAAAATCAAAGTCTAGTTTATCAGTCATTTTTTATATGCTTTTGTGTTGTCAGTCAGAGAAAGGTTTTCCCCACCCTCTGGTTATAAAGAAACTCACCTCACTTTTTTACATTTAACTCCCCAACCATTTGGAATTTGTCCTTCTGTGTGGAGTGAGGTTTGAATCCATTTTTATAATTTTGCAAATAACTATGTGATTATCTCAAAGCCATTTAATAAAAAGTTCCATGGTGGTTTTTTCTTCCTCCTGATTCGTAATATTATTCCCATATGCACTTGGGCTCATTTCTGAACTTTGTATTCTGTTCTATTAGCCTGGCTACCCATGCAGTAACACCACATTGTTTGATTATAGACGCTTTACACCGTGTTATATCTGTTTATCTG